TTTTAAGAAAGGAAAAAAACTATTAAAATTGTAATACTCAATATATACCGATAACAAAAGATGAATACAAGTCATGTGTATACATTTTTTTGGCACCCCCTGGTATTTGAAAATCATAAATTTCATAAGGGATTAAAGAATGCCACAACTCAACAACATAAAATCAAATAACCTGATTTTTTTTTTTAATGGGCAAAGGTCTTAAACAGACATTTCTCCAAAGATTAAATGGCCAACAAGCATATAAAAAGATGTTCAACATAATTAATCATTCGAGAAATACAAATCAACACCACAAGATGCCATACCGCACCCATTAGTACAGCCACTATCAAAAAACAGAAAACAATAAGTGTCAGTGAGGTGATGGAAAAATTGGAACCCTTGTGCCGTTGATAGGAATGTACAATGATAGGATCGCTATGGAAAACAGTATGGAGGTTCTCGAAAAATTAAAAAACGTAACTACCATATGATCCAGCAATCCCACTTCTGATCCCACATATACCTCCAAAGAATTGAAAACTGGACCTAAAAGACATATCTGCATATCCCAATTCACTGTAGTAGCATTATTCACAATAGCCAAAAGGTAGAAGCAACCCAAATGTCCATCAACAGATGAATGGATAAAGAAAATGTGGTGTATACGTAACACAGACTATTATTAGCCCTAAAAAAGGAAATCCTGCCATACACTACAACACAGATGAACCTTAAGGTCATTATGTTAAGTGAAATAAGCCAGTCACAAAAGACAAATACTGTATGATCCCATGTATAGGGGAATCTAAAGTAGTCAAACTAATAGAAACAGGAAAGTAGAATGGTGGCTGCCAGGTGCTGGAGGGGAGGGGATGGGGAATTATTGTTTAATGGATCTAGAGTTTCTGTTTTGCAAGATGGAAAGAGTTCTGGAGATGGGCGGTGGTAACGTCTGCACAATGTGAATGTACTTGATGCCAGTCAACCATGTGCTTAAAAAATGGTGAAGATGTTAAATTGTATGTTATGTGTATTTTACCACAATAAAAAATTTAAAAAGGAACGAGGCCTCCGATGTGCTGGGACTTCATGGGCCTCTTTTAAAGTTTCAAGACTACACTGACAAGAATGATGCTACCGCTAAAGCCACCCTGCACAGGGGGCACAGTTATTTCCTCAAATCTTCACCTAACAGTAGAAACAGCAGTAATCTTCAGTGGGTGGGAGGTTCTCCCCGACTGAGCCAGCCACGGCCTGGATTGGGTGTTCTTTCCAAGGAAATCCTACTTCCTACGTGGCAGGAGGGATGAGGAGCCGCTAAAAGGAAAACCGCAGGCCCAAAACGGCATCTCTCGTGCTAACAGGCCATGGTACTAACCTAGATCTCATCCTTGATCTAACTTCAGTTTCCACCTCTCCAGAAATACGATCTTAATACACCAATCTGGAACTTGCTGGTCAAGCACCAATCATCTGTCACTTGGGCCCTCTCTTTCCCCCACAGGAAGCAGAGACAATCAGCATGTTAAAAACTCTCCCCAAGCTCTTCCCCCAAAGAAACAATGTCCTGGACCCAAAAGAATCCTTTCTTTTCTTTTGTTAATAGCTCCCTTGCCCCGCCCTTCTTCCTAGAAAAATCTTCCATTTTGTAGAACCCCTGTGATTGCTTTCTTTCTGGTTGCTAGATGAGATCCCATTCATGAATCCCTTAATAAAGCCAATTAGATCTTCAAATGTATTCAGCTGAATTTTTTTTTTGAATTTTTTTTAACAGAACCTTTCCTTGAAGGTGCAATTGTTAAAAAAGGGAGGAAAAGGCAAATAGCATATGCTTCATATTCCATTTGTTAAAACCTTTCCTCCACCCTTTTTGATATATTACTAAATTTAAGCTTCTTAGGTCTGTTCTTTATATACCAGCTAATGGAATTCAAGTGCTTAGCCTTGAGAACACTTAGAAAGGGGGAAAATGTTCCATCTTCTCTACAGCTGTAAAAAACTAGACACCATGCTGCATCATAAAATTATGTCTGACAATGGTGAACTGAGAACGTTCACAAAAGCATGGGTAGGAACTGCCTTTCTAATGTGGTGATTTTCATTACAAAGCCTAACCGTTCCTTTTTCTGTTTAACAAAGCAGTCACTTAAGACACCTGGATTGCAGAGTTGCTATATATTTAAGATGTAGCCCTTAATCCCCAAAAGATGGCAAATTGATTGGCTCTCTTAATAGCCTGTGTAATTTTTATGCAAAAACTGTTTATTTAAACCGTATTACCATATTAAATCAAAAGAGAAGCTCAGCTACTTTCCTCTCCCTCCAGGCCTGAAGGCTAATAAAATCCAGGACTCTGTTGAATTCCTTATTCAAACAAAAGGTTTTAAAGACTTGGTCTCATTTCAGTGAATCCAGGCTAATGGGATGGACGAGGGGTGGGAGGAAGCACATTCAGTAAGTGTCCAGCAGCCAGAATGATAACAAATCAAGAGGGTATAGCAAGAAATTGAAGGAGTAAAACCCTAAGGAGATGTGAGTTTCAGTTCCTGTCTACTATTAACTCTGCAGGTGACTTTTCTCTCTCCGCTGGGCCTCAATTTCCTCACCTTCCCGTCTCATTACTATAACCTATATCTGCTGCAGTATCAGTGTTAGTAACTCCACCTAGTTCCAATTCTACAGACCTGGTTACAAAAAGAAGCCTCTTTGTGGTTTTGACACTTATTTTTCTTTTAGATCACAATGTTTTATGGAGACAAGCACAGCTGAATAAGATTTTAACCTTAGGCCCTTTTGGCTTGTTTTGCTGTGGGAGGTGAAGATGGGGTGGGGGCCATCACACACTTACCAGTGTTTTTCATAGAGCCAATGGCCTCCCCATGACATCAGGCAGATTCCAGCTGTAGTTTTCTTCCAATGATTCCGAAGTGTTTTAAAGAACACCGTCATCTTCTCCTAGGGATTTGCGAGGCTACGAAGGGAGAAAAAGAAAAACTACATTATTATCCGAGGTCAGCATGTATAAGAATCCCTATGACTGTCTTCCATTCATTCATTCCCTCCACGTTCTCCTTCCCTCGTCCCTTTTCCTTCTTAACCGTTTCTCTGGCCTTTTCCCATCTTCTGCCCACTAGTCTCATCATCTTCATCTTCTCACCCACCCACCTACCTTTGTTTTGTTTTTCTTTCTTTCTACCTAAGCTATACTTTTTCCTTCTCTGATCCCTTTTATTAATACCTCACTGCCTTAGAAGGAAGGGGAAGTGGGGGGGGTGCGGGGGGGGGGGACAGAAAGGAATGGAATTCTAAACTTCCTGTTTCTTTCTTCTCAGTCACTATATACCACTGTTGAAGGGTACTTGTCAAGCCATTATATATAAAGGACTCAACATCAAGTAATGTAAAGGGCGGATTCAAAATAGAAGAAAACACCAGACCCTTAGTAGGAAAGTAAGCAGGGAACATGCACAGAAAACGCAATGAGAGGAAATGCACGTCTATGTAAAAACGTTCAACTCCCTGAGTCATGAAAGACGTGCGAAGTCCAAAGAACTCTTTCTAGTCGCCTACAAAATTAACACATTTTAAAAATGCTCATGTGCACTGATGACAAAATGAGACAGACACTCTCACACTCCTTCCCGTAGGAAAAGTAAATTAGCACAACTTTGCTAAAAAACAAAGTGACAACATATATCGGTTTTTCTGTTTGTTTTCTTCATAGCATTTATCATTTGATGATCCTCACTTGCTAACTGGTTTATTAGCTTATCTCACTGGAATGTAAATTCTACGAGAGTTATTAAGAACTTGGACTGATCTGGTCACTGCTGTGTCTCCATTGCCTAAAACTCCTTATGAAGGCTTCCATGTCACGTAAAACTTAAATAAATGTGTATGCCTTTCTCCTGTTAATCTCTGTCAGTTTAATTTCCAGACCTAGCCAGGGACCCTAAGAGGGTTAAAGAAAAATTTTTTCCCCCTACATTAAATTTTTCTTCACTGAGAACTTTCGCTGATATGGAAAAAAAACTCAAAATACAATGTCAAGTAAAATCAACAGGATAAAAAGCCATTAAAATTGGTATTGTCCCAATTACATCCAAACATAAATATAAATGGAAAAAAAAATACCAATAGAAATAAACACACAAAAAATGTAAGTAGTTCTCTCTTGGTTGTGAAATAAGGGGGGGACATTTATTTCATTTTTTTAAATTTTCTAAGTTTTCTAAATATATTTTCTAATTTTTCTAAAATGAATGTAAATAATTTTCTAAGCAGATAAATATGTAAATTAAAAACTTTTATGACCATTTGTGCATGCAGTAAACAGACCAAGAAAAAAAAAAAAGCTGCTTTCACTGAAGGTTCTAGTTCTTTCATGGCTCCCTTTAACCACAGACTCTCTTCCTGACCTAACTTGAACCGGGCTCCTCCGAGCTCTCTGCTGGACTAGGCCCAACCTTGGGCTTCCCTCTACCTTATAGAATCCAATCAGGATCCTGTTAAATGAGTTGAGCAAACCACCCCCACCTGGGTATCTGACCACCCTGGATAGCTCATCACAGCGGCCTGACTTCAGCAAGAATTCTGTTGAATCATTCTAACCAGAATCCCTCTTATCCCTGATATTTTCTCTAAGTAACTTTCCAAAATTCACTGACCGCCTACCTGCTTCTTGGCTATAAACCCTCACTGGTCCTTGGTGTTGTTGGAAGTTGAGTTCAACCTCCCTCCCCCACTCCAAGATGTCCACTGCAGTGGTCTCTGCTCACAGAGATGCCTCTCCCCCGCCCCCCCTTGAATCAAGTCCCCCTTACCATTCTTTAACAAGTGTCACTAAATTTCTTAACACCACTATTGGTTAAAATTCCTCTCAAGGCAGGAAACATCCTTATCACCAGCAACAATGAGGCCAGTGCCAGGGAGCACAGCTTCCCATGAATCAGGGGCACAGTCCAGGCTGGTACATAATGGAACCCAAAGGCACATCTGATAATAAAACGCCTCTCCCCGAAAGCACTCATTCATTCACCAGGCCCTTAATAAACACCTACCTGCTAGGCTCTGTGTTGGGGGCTAGGCAGGGAAGCACAAGTCTCTATTTTCAAGTGGTCACAGCTGTTAAACCCACAAGGACAACACAATTATACGATTTACGGCTGCAATCCAGTGGGAGGAACGTTGAGGGGTAAGCCACTAGCTCTGAGAGCCCACAAGAATGACCTCACGTAGACTGGAGGTGACACAGATGGTGCAGGGTCAAGGAAGTCGTCCCAGAAGGCATGACAGTTACAGTCTTGAAGAATCAGGAGGAGTTAAAGAAGGAGTTAAGAGACTGATGTGTATAGAGGCATAAAAATACCAGAGTGTTCAGGAAAACACAGGTAGATAATCAGGTATAAAGAACAGGGTAAATACGGGAGAGTATCTAGAGCAAGGCCTCACAAAAGCTAGGGTAAAAGTTGTGTAAAATGCAGAATCTTGAGCATTAATCCCACGATTCTGATTTGATCTGGCTGGGCTCTCATTTGCATGATTAGCAAGTATTCCCATGCTTCCAATGAAGGTAGGCATCACACTACACTTTGAGAAACAGCGTTTTGGAGAGAAAGGTTGGGGGAACGTAGGGGGAGTTCAAAAAAGATCAAGAAGGACCTTGAATCCATGCAAACGGACTTCGGATATTATGTTGAAGGTGATGAAAACCTTGAAGGGGTTTAGCAAGTGAGGGACATGATTAGATTTGAACTGTAGAGAGATCACGTGGTAACAGAATGGAAAAATGGACTGAAGCAGAGCTTAGAGCTAAAAAGAGCCAGTAGGAAGTTATTACCATAATCTCTAGGAAGAAAGGAGCAACAGAGATGGAGGATGGATTTGGGAGTTCTTTATAAATTAGAATTTGGCAGCACTTGTAGACGGTGAGAGAGGAGGAACCAAGCCAGGTTGTACTTGGACAACTGATGGGATAATGATTTCAATCATTGGATTTGGAGTGTAGGTTGGTGGGAAAAGGTAGTGCAGTTTAGGAGGTACCAAGTTTGGGATGCTTGAAGGGCATCCACATGGAAATGGTCAGTGAATGTCTGGATTTAGCAGTCTGAAGCTCGGAGCAATTGTCTGGGTAAAAGACAACGGATTTGGGATTGAAATGACCCAGTGGAATTCACTTTTTGTCACAAATGAATGATTCATCTATTATAAAAAACAATACTGTGGAAACATGCAGGCCACCCAGTGCAAAGAGCACTAGTGCAAAGGTCCCGAGGCCTAGAGTCTCATTCTGGCTTTGCCACTTACTGGCAGTGAGAGCCTGGGTAGGTCACTTAACCTCTGCCTCTATGTCCTCATTAGTAAAAGGACACACCACCTGCTCTGATGAACTCGTTAGGCTGCAAGGATCACACCTGGTACAGGTTTCTGTACGCACTGGAGTTCTCATCACAATACGCAATATATTCGCTAACAATGTATATTCCTTCCAACTACCCAACAAAATTCTTCTTCCTCCCCAGTCTCAGTAAGGCTCAGTTTTATAGGTTCCAATTCACATCTGTCTTCGGAAAAGCAGTCTGGCCCCCCAAAAGAATGGCTCAATTCTAACTGAATTCGGCCTCCTCCCCCGTTAGGTGGGGGGGGGTTTTCTCCCTAGACGGCGAGACCCCCTCCGGGGCAGGTTCCATCTTTGCTTCGCTCGCCAACAAAACCTAGTAAGACACCTGGAATGAATGAGCCCATCGATCAGCAACTAGCCGCCCGTTTTGCAAACGGCTCAGCTGAAGCCCAAGGTCCAGAGTCAGGGTCACGCAAATGAGCGACAGGTGTAGGGCCAGACCCCGGGACAGCTGACACCCACCGGGACAAGAACCCCGCCATCCGCACGGGGTCCTGCCCAAGACACTCGCGCCGGGCCCTCGCGCCGCCTCCCGCCCCCGCGCGGCCCGGACGCCGGGCCCCCGAGGCCCGGTCCGCACCGCCCCCGGCCGAGCGCGACTCCCGCGGCTCCGCTCGGCGCCCCGTCCCGGCGCCCCGCGCGCCGCATCCCGCCCGGACCCCGCCGCACTCACCACCGCGAATCCCGCTCGCCGCCCGGCCTTTCCGGTGTGCTCCCTCAACAGTCCCCCGCTCATTGATGGGAAACTGCTGCCGCCGCCGCCCTCGGGTTCCGCCCCGGGGTCCCGCCGCGCAGGGCAGGTGCGGGCTGCAAGGGCCGCCCCCTGGGGGCTGCCTTCCTTTTCCGTTCACTCATTGATTTATTCATCCATCCCGTCATCCACCCATCCATCCATGCATCCATCGCTCGGCAGTATTTTATGGAAAGCCTACCAAGGTAAACACTGTTGTAGGACCTGGCACTGCATCAGAAAATAGCTCAACGAACAGGGCATTTTTAGATCGTGATTCCACAGCGAAGGGAATGACAAGGGAGCAGGGTCAGGGGAGAACTATTTTAAATTAGGCAAAATTAGGCCTCTGTGAGTCAGGGGCAATTAACCTGAGACCTGAATGGCGGAAAGAAAGGGTCAAGCAAAGATCCAGGGGGAAAGAGAGACCCGGGGGGTGGGGGCAGCCAGTACAAAACCCGAAAGCCCGAGGCAGCTCTGCAGGTCAGGGGTCAGTGCAGGTGAAGTGGCGAGAGCTAAGGAGTAAGTGGCAGCGATGAAGCTGGAGAGGTGGGCAAGGCAGGCCATGGTGGTAAGGAGTTCGGACATTATACCAAATGAAATGGGAAAGCCTTGAGGGGATTCAGAACAATGTCACCTGGTTTACATTTTAAATATCTGTCTGGCCACAATATCGGGAATGGATTGTAGAAAGCAAGAAAGCTACGGAGAAGCCAGGCCCAATGCTGACCACCAAGCAGCAGTTTCAATTCTCTGCCCTCCTCCCACCGGCACCCTCCCTCCCTCCAAATGGTGTGGACATCAAGCCAGTCACGCCAGGTTTCTTTCTTTCCTTCTTCCCTCCATTGTTCCATCAACTCAGCCTTTGCTAAGTGTTGCTATGAGCCGAGCACTGGGGATGCACTCACATACAGGGCCCCCCCCCCCCGTGATTCCCACCTTCACAGAGCTTACAACCGAGCGTCCCCATTTACTGGCTGTCTCACAGCTCAGTTTCTCCCTCCGCCCAAGCTCACTTCCTTCTCTCCCTTTTTCACAGGCATCAGTTCTGAGCACTAAACACAGTATGACAGACAGAATGATGACCCCCTCCCCCAAAGATGTCCACGTTTTAACCCCTGGAACCTAGCAATACTTTACAAGTGTGATTAAGTTAAGGATATTGAGAAAGGAAGTTTATCTTGGATTATCCCGGTGTAGCATCTCAAATGAAATCACAGGGGTCCTTATATTAATAACAAGGAGACCAGGGGAGAGAGGGAGAGAGAGGGAGAGAGGGAGAACACTGCTGGCTTTGAAGATAACAGCAGAAGCCATAAACCAAGGAATACGATAGGATTTGGAGTGATGAAATGTTCTAAAATTGGTGGTGATGACGGCTGCAGGACACCGAACATACCCAAAACCATTGAATTACACATTTTAAATGGGAGATTTGTATGGTATGTAAATTATATCTCAATAATGCTGTTTTGTTTTTTTAAGATAGACGGTCCCATTATTTTTTTCCCCTTAGACAGGATCATAGGTATACACAATACCTGAAACGGTTACAACCATTGTTGAGCCACGAAGGGAGTCAGCCTGGGGCAGAGCCAACTCCCAGAGGACGGGAGGGAAGAGATGGAAAGAACCTGGGTCCTTGATGACATCATTGAGCCAAATGGCTCTCCTATGCCTGGCGCTTGCTCAAACTCAGGACATCCTACCATGTGAAATGATGAAGTCCCTTATCGTTTAATCTTCAGTTAGCATCAGAGATTTCTGTTCTTTGAAGTCAAGAGCACAACTTGATAAACTACACGCCGCAGGGGACCCAGAGAGAGGACAGTGTTTTTAAAAAGATGATGTGGTTTTAAGAGGGGAAAAAAAACAACAGGTGAAAGTAGATGGCAGAACAGAGCTAGCTGGCATTCATGGAACACTTAACCTTTTCTTGTTCCTAAAATCATTCTCCAGTTATTTCCCTGGGCCCTGCACCTGCGCCAAGCTCGTTTTCTATCGATTCATTAACAACAAAACAGAGGCAACGCTTCATAAAAATTGACAGAACGCTCATATCACCGTGAATAGCCTCCTCTGTAGCATCTCAGATGAAACCTGCTTGTGGGAATAGATGCTCCCCAGTCAGAACGTCTATCACAGAAAATTATCTACAAATTCTTTTGACATTCATTTTGGTCTGTTTACTTCTTTTGTGCACACAGATGCTTCTTTAGACTACTCTGTTTCCCCTAAAGAAAAAAATATGAAATGGTGTTCTTATGGTATTTATGCGTAAAATCTCTTCCTTGTTGTGACCTTTCATATCTACTGCTATCAGATTGGACACATGGAAACGAGACCTTTCAATAAACCAGAGGGTTCCTAGGAGACGAACTATCTTCCATATTATAACATGAGATGAGGGTAAACTGTCATCCACAATAGAATTCTAGTTCCTGGGTGAGGAACAGAGTAACCCAAGCCTTTAGAACAGTTTGTGAGGATGGAATAAAGGTGTCTGACTCCTTGGTAGAAGAATATAAATCTAATTCGAGCAAAACAAGGCAAATATCGAAAGAAAGGGGGCCTTTTGAAGCGGCATAGCAAGAGGAAAAGAACACCACACCCAGTAGGGTTCTTGCCTCTTTCATTAGACATTTGACCTTGGGCACTTACAGACGGAGCCTTACTTAAACTGTGAAGTGGAAATGCGTGGATGTAGGGGCCGGGTCGCATTCTCTTTTCCACTTCTCATTTCTGCATTTCCTTTGCACTGCTTTAACTTTTGATCTTGGCCTCATTGTCCAAAATTGCTCAATATCCCAAACTGTAAAAAAACGATAGGCGCAAATACTAAATCCTGCTACTAATTGCGTATGTAATTGCTGAGATTAAGTCCTGTGACTTAAAATTCTCTGACGTTAGTGCTAGAGCTCTCGATGTGTTCATTATTTCCACGTGGTCTCTTATCTTGAACCTTAAGAAGGCTCTAATCCTGGGTTTAAAGCAGGACATAAAGCTTCCTTTGATGGCGCCGCCAGCCTGAATAGTGTACCACTAGATGGCGCTGAAGATCCGGCCGTAGAAGGAGAATCGGGAACGAACAGGCACAGGCTCTTTTCTTCTGGGTCTGTTGGCTGACACCAGGCAGTTATTTCCTTTATTGTCAGGGATCTTGGGATGTCTTGGCTTGAATCTAATGCAAGCAGTCCCTCTGCAGTGCTCAGCAGTCTGTAAAGAGGGTATTGAGTCCAGCAATAGTAATGCCAGGGCCTTATCACAAGATCATTAACGACAGGATCTTTCTGTCTCCTCCCTGCACCTTCCCTAAGTCCCCAAGTCTGGGGCCTGTCCTGGGTTTCTTGAGCCATTCATTCAAACATCTAGTGCATGCTCTTCTGTGTCAAGCATACAGCTAGGAGTGATGTGGTTTGAGAGACACAGGACTTGAGCATTTTTTTCTTAGTTTAACATCAGTGCCAAGCATAAGGTACCAAGCCTCAGGGTGACTGCTCAGGCCCTGATCTCAGGGGCCCAAGTTGCTGGCAGCCAAACTGTGTTTCCAGGAGGGAGGAGAGGGGAAATACTGTGGTTCTTAACTTATACTTACAACTAGCACATCATCTCTCTTTCCTCCACACACACCATGTGCATGAAGGCAACAAGACTAGGCATGTGACGTCCCTGCCCAGCCCACCTTCATGATCAAACTGCCCTTTCGACCTTCTTTTTCTCTTTAATGCAGCTCTTGATATTTAACTCTAATACAATGTAGTCTTGTCTTTGGTTTTAGATAAAACGTGTGTTGGGAATACACGTATCATGGACTACTATTCAACAATAGAAAAATGAGCTACCAATGAAACGACATGGAGGAACTTTAAATGCATATTACAAAGTGAAAGCAGCCCAATCTGAATGGCTACATACTGTACGATTCCAGTCATATGGCATCTGGAATAGGGAACGTTCTGGAAACAGTAAAAGGATCGGAGTTGCCCGAGGTTGGGGGGAAGGAGGTGATGAATAGGTGGAACATAGGGGATTTTTAAGGCAGTGAAACCATTCTGTATGATCT